GATGAATATTATTAATTAGTATTAAGTATTCGATTATTCATTATCGAATAATCTACTAAATTTAAATCCAATGTCCGAATGTTCTCTGCTGTTTGAATATTCAATTATTCGAATAGAATATTTATCAGCAACGAGTATCTCGTTTTCTGTTAAATTATTTTACATGACTTTTAATTATTTTCTCAATTATGAAAGGGACTTACTGAAACATGAGCCATAAGATTATGCTAGGAGACAACAACACTGATTAAATATGCAAAAGAAAGTTTGAAAAGCAAAAAGGATAAGATACAAGATAAGATGGGATTAAAATTGATGAAATAAAAGTCTGTAGCATAAATTCCCAGACATATATGTATATTAATTACTATATAACTTCATCGTTTAAAATGAGCACTATTGATACGTTACGCACGAAGTTACAACAATTCAAAGATCTTATTTTCCAACTATAATTAATTAATTGTGCACATTTGTTATTTAATACAGTAACTAATAATTCTTCAATTTTGTCAAGTATTGTATTTCGTATTTCTAAATGATCTTGTACACTTGTGACATCCACGATACTTTACACATAATAATTTAAATAAACTTCGGTTGAAGAAGACGAGTGACTCTCTTTAAAAATTCTGTCACACGAGGAAAATAACGCGCTGTCACGAGAGAAAGAGGGTTAATGAAGGACAATAAAGACCGGGGGTAACGTGTTGGGGGATGAAGTGTTTGAGGATGAAGCTTACAGAAGATGGAGATAGCTAACAGAGAAAGGAGAGCCAGTCCCATTTTTCATTGGTGAATTTGTTTGTACAGCAGCTGCTGTCCATATTTGTTCTTCCGTCGCTTCCGCGGAACTGCACTTTGCATTTGTTTCCCTGGTTCACTTCGAATGTGAGGCGCGCTCTTAGAAACGGAACCGCGTGTTCCTCTTTGCGACGTAACAGAACGACACCGGAATTGAATTAGATGAGTAGTTCAACATCCCCCCAGCTTATGTCGTCGGACTTCAAGAGCTGAAATATCTCGCCACTTGTCCTCCGTCGTCTTATAACGTCGAAATAACTCGAAAGCGACTTTCACCTTGGATATAACTGTTGCCGTAGTTTAAAAATCTACTCCTTAGATGTTCAGACATTGAACTGTTACTACCAAGTTACTCTGACACGGATTTTGACAGGAACATTCTATATCATTGTATGTTCAAACGTTTTCAAACCACTCTGAAATAAAATCAATTTTGCAGTTCAAGTCAAATCCTCGTTCAAACAAAGATTTACTTTCTTCTCCTCATCCTACCAAAATTCCCTACAACGTGTTCAAACATTTTCCAATCATTCTCGCCAAGCTATTGGCAAAAAAAATTTAGAATTAAAAATTTAAAACTTTAGAAATTTAAGGGCCATTCTTCTATTAAAATTCTTCGCTAATCACGCTCGAAGAATCCAACCCTATAACATGTTCAAACATGTTCAAACAGTTTCCAAACCGCTCTGAAAGAGAAAAGAAAATAATAATATTTCGTTTTCATTAAAAAGATATCATACATTCTGTTTTTTCTCCCCATTCCTCCATTAATCGCGCTCGAAGAATCCAATCTCGTTCCCTGTATCAGGTTCAAACATTCTCCAACTATCTTCCAAACGATGCATTAATATGCGCGTCTAATAAAACCGATTCCCCGATAAGAAGCTTTGCATGCGACCTCGTAAATGATCATCGTCGAGATTCGAGCGTTGAAAAGCAAAGGGGAATGGATTACACGCGGATTCCAATTCACAGAGACTCGACGATTTCGGCTGAAAACGAACAGTCCTGGTTTTAGCCTCCTTTGACGCTGGCTCGTTACATGCGTGAGTTTTCTGGCCGCGCGGAAAGCAATTTCGGCTGATAAGTCCTTCAATTAAGCGAAACGCAGCGCGTCCCCAATCGGCTTTTCAATGGGCCACCAAAGAAATATGCGCAGATTGGAAGATCGCGCTCTGTTCCGTGCGAAAGCTGCCTTTAATGCGATGGAAACGAAAGGGGAAATCGATACTTTGATGCGTTAGAATGAATCGTCGAGAGGGTTGCTGTCTGATATTCGAATTGGAGAATTCATTCTGACATTCTGTGGATCTTTATCAGTTTGGTTTTAGAGAGTTTGAGGTAGTTTAGAGCGAAACTATCCACGGTGGCTGGTGTTGTTGATTGATAGTGAATTTTGAGGGTTAATCTTGCCTCTCTCAGGATTCTTTTGAGTAGTATTCGCAAGTTTTTAGGTTCCTCTAGTGAGGATTTTTCTATTGTACACATTGAGGACTGAATCTATGGATCTCATTACTTTTTAGTGAGTTTGAGATATTTTAGGTTTGTATTATTTGACTGTATTAACTGTCTCTGTCATTTATCCATATCAGTTGTCGACTAGGATGACATTCGATTTCTTTTTGTTCATTTTTCTCTTCTTTCGTAAAGCACAACGTATCCTTTTATCGAATAGGGTCGCGAAACGATTCGCGAGGACAAACATCCGCATCTCGATCGTTGCGATTCGAATCACACCCTGCCCTGAGGAGAGACGTAGCCAGAGAAAGCTTTGACTAAGGCAGAAGGTGATTGAATTAGCGAACAGCGGCAAACTCTGTGTTCAGCAGGAACGCAGACCTGCCATTAACTTAATCAAACATCCAACTACAAGGTATCCTGTAATGGCAACGAGAAATCAGATATTCTTCCTGTGATTCGTCGTTACTGCTAAATCTGTCGTGCGTTCTTATCCTGTCGTGCGATCGTTTGAATACTTCGTGACTGTGCATGAGAATTTTCATGCATATTCATATTTTTATAGATATTAATATAAAAAATGAGTGGATTAGAAATTACAGTGTGTACGTATAGTGAACACTTGTAACTTCGTTTTCTTTATGAGAATGTTAGATGTTAAATGAAAATATACTATTATTTCTGAATGTTTTGTACCATACACCAAAATGTGAACATTTAAATTTACAAAGCAGCAACTATTGTATAACAATCGTGATTCATGAAAGTATTCGAACTTACATTGTGAATATATTGTGAAGCATTTTTCGTAAAGTTTAAAATGAAAGAATAAGATACTTGCAAATGTATTTAAACAGGATTTAGATACTACAAATGTACTTAAATAAGTCACAACCCTCACAAAAGGGTTTTCTTTCAATTACCACTCCTTGCAAAAAGTTTTCAATCAAACGCAAGTATTATGAAAAAAAGAACATTGAAATCTTTCGTGTAAGAGAATTCAATTGAAATTGCCAGTTCCATTATTATATTTATAATTAATATTATACTTATAATATTATAATTAATATTAATATTATATTTATAATATTATAATTAATATTATATTTATATTATAATATTATATTTATGTTATAATATTATAATATTATATGTATATTAATATATTTATCATATATCAAATGAAACAATTGTACTTATTTCTGCTTAAAACGAAGTGCTTATATTTATATTATAATTAATATTATATGTATATTATAATATTTATAATATATTAATATATTTATAATATATCAAACAAATGAAACAATTGTACTTATTTACGCTTAAAACGAACCAATCATATCTATGAAACAATTACACCTATTTCATACTTAAAAGATGTCACTGTTCTTGTAATACGTTTAAATAGACACTCGTGTTTGACCGAGAACTTTTTACCAGGGGTAGTATGATATATAACACCTATGTGTATGTCATATAAATCGCGATCGTTCACTTCAGAAACGCCCTGTTAATAAATTTCTAATGGCAATCACGACAGGTGAATTTCACTAGTATCCCTTTGAGCGAGGCATCGAGATAAGCCAGCATCTTCCCTCCCCGCCCTCCCACTGTTCTCGATTCGTAATGGATCGATCGTATCGAACGTATCCGCGGCAGTACAGCCGGCAATTCGCACGGAACAGACGGCAACGAGGGGTCTCTCTCGGTATAATTGCTTGGCAATATCGCGGCAACATCTCCGTCTTTGATTGCATTACCGGTACGGTGTAACGTTATTAGCGAGCCGTTGCTTTAGTTTACGCTAATTCGATCGCGTTTTCAAGTTGAGCCGCGCGACAGAGAAATCTCGCGGAAGCGATTTCCGTCGCGGGCTGGCAGCGTCGCCTGGCAATTTCCGGTGAAACGCGCGTCAGGCTAATTCGAAACCCGATTAATGCTACGCCGACGTGTAAAATCACTCCGATAATTATCGAATCAGGAGAAAACTGAGATACTGAGGCTTTGAATCGGCAGGATTATATTATCGTTATTAGACCGTGAATTCTCGATGAAGATTCAATTATTATGTTTGGAAATGTTGCTCCGATGAGCGCGCTACGCTTCAAGTGTCTTTGTTTGTGTATTTTTGTACAAATGCATTCGTGTGCTGAATTAACAATTGAATTGTTAGTCTTATTTTAGTGAACTGGCTTCGTGTAAATGTAGTGACAAACAATTTTAGTAAAAATGGAAATTTCATTGTAAATACTTCTAGTAAATAATCACAGAGTTAAGTACTTTCAATATTTAATATCATACTTGAAATTGTAATGTATATTTAATGTTACGTGATATTAACTACTGAAAGTCCCTTGGTATGACAGAAATGGAAATTGTATTTTTTATTTATTAATTTCTCCAACTCTATTCAACTGTTTAATATATCATTTTCCTATTTCCCATTTCCTTGTCACTGTATTCACATTCGCTCGTTTAAATTCAATTAATTACAATGATCAACATCCGATGAGTATTAATTAATCAAGTTAACATTGGTTAACTGCGTCTATCGACGACATTATATCTATCGATACTAATTACATCACTCCTATCGAAAATTCACGTCAACGTCAAAACTTAATTAAGTGTCACGAATTAAATTTCCAATCCCGACGAAAGAAAAAAAAAAAATAACAATCCTCCTCGGAATTACACTGTCGCTTATTAGTCGACACTCTCGAACACTGTCTCACCGTCGTTCGATCTTCTTCTTGTGCAGCTTACGTCAATCGTGAGTCACCGTGGCCATCTTCATCTGCGCAACTGCCAATTTACGGCCAATTCCACCGATCAATGTTGCAAACGCAAAAAAAAAAAAAAAAAAAAAAAGAGAAACGATTGCACCAAGCCTCTATTCTTCGTCGTGTGTCTTTTCTTTCTCGCGAGAATTGCCAGAATCTGGGCTTCGTAGAAAATTCGCAGTGTCGCGAATTCAAGGTGAAACAAAGTATTTGCTCGTCGAGCGTGAAAGAAAGCCCGGAGCTCGAGAGGCTGGTGAATGCGATTCGTCGCGTCGATGCGGGCCAGAGCGGCTCGAATCGAACTGGCAAACGAGTTCCTTGAAATTTTCATGCCTCGTGTGTCCCGGGGCCGCGTTATTCTTGCATCTCGAGGCAGCCGCGACGACGCTCCACGCCTGAAGGAAAATAATTTCCTTCGAGAATTGCCCCGGCTACGAATTGTTCTTTCCTCCTGGAAATCGTGACTTGTCTACACGTTGCTCGTTTCCCTTTTTTTTTTGTTTTTCGGGGTCACAGCACTCGTATTTTCTTTGATCTGTTGTAACGTGCGGTGCAACGTTTTGATGGGATTAATAGGGTAGCAAATAGATATTATTTAGAGTTGATGTTGATGTGACGTGACATGTTGAAATAATATTGATAACGTTATGAATTTACAATACTAAGGTAATACATTATTTAATGTACACACATAAATGTATTTACGAATGTGGTTTAACGTAAATTAAATTACACGTACAAAAGTAGTGTATATTTATGGACCGTGAATTTGAAAAGAACGGAAAAGTAAAAGATTATTTTACTCATTAGAAACTACTTGATCTGTCAAAGGCGCATAAACTGATAAGTTGGTAAATAAATATTTATTTAAAACAATATTAATGTAATATAACATGTCAAAATAATAATAAAATAACAGTAACAATATTATTAATTTGTAGTAATAGTGATCTTAATTTGTCTAAATTTGTTTCGAAAGGATATACATATAATACATAACTTTTCTGTATCAATCTGTTCATTATAAAATTACCGAAATCATACTTTGAGAAATAAAAATTTGTTTATGTTACTCCAAAGAAATTAAGTTCGCGTCTGTTTTAATTAAAAAATAATTAAGAAACACACTAAGCTATAATCTAGAAAAACGAACAAACCGAGTCAAAGTGATGAATAAAATTTTAAGGGAAAATCAGTTGTTCTGGCAAAGTCAGGGTTGAGATTATTGCAAAATTTCGGCGAGAAAAAGTATATTTGGCGAGGGTTATGGGTGTGAAGGAGGGTGGGAGGGAATTTCGTGTTGATTTGGCTGTTTCATGCTGCGGAAGATAGCGATCACGGGCGGTTAATGGAAGATCGTTATATTTCGGTGAAGCGTAACGAGAAGGGAAGCCTTCGAGGCATCTTCCTCCCTTCCGGTTGCTGTCTGGCCTCGCTAACGCGATTGCTGAAGCATTTTCCGGGCAACTGTTGGAAAACAGGACAAGGGCCATTATATCGTGGCTCGCTTCTATCTGTCGCTCCCCTGTCAGCTTTGTTCCTCCTCCTTTTTCTCGACCTCTGGTCGCGCTAGGATTCACCGTGTCACGTACATTCTGCTCGTGACAGTTGCTTACCCCCGGCGCAACATGTGTGCAAAATTTTCTCTAAGGATGTTTTTAACAACGCTTCTGATCGCTCCCGATGTAAAGTATTCGAGCGCCCTGTGATTGCATTGCGCATGCTCTACATGACACTTTAACATTCAAATATTGTTTCTAACGATATTTAACTGCTACAGTATCGCACAAATGCATTCGAGCACTTTGTAATTACATTATGCGAGTTGTATAAAAATATTTTGACACTTTGTCGACGGTCAAATGAGGTGAGAAATATATTTAAACAGCCACAGTCTATTGTATTAATTTGTAATTACAACTATATTGCATTATATTGCAGTCCACTCTGTCGATTATATTAATTATATTAATTAATAAACTTCGGTATTATATTATACTTATTATATTCATACTGCAGACTAATTTCTGACTAAATATATATTCGCAGTACGTGTCTAATTTTTGGTTTTCAATTTGGTCAACATTACATTTCATTATATTGTTGATAAAATTACAAAATGTATTATACAACGTATATTCTACAATGCATCTTTTGTGATAATCGTTCGGACAGTTTTGTGAGTCAGTGCAATTTTAATTAATATTGTAGAATTTGCAGTAAATGAGACTTGGACTTTGTTGTACGATCGTTAATTTTCGAATAATTTACTCTTGAGGCAATAAATTGAAAAGTATCGGTGAAGGGTATATAAAAAAGTTCAACACGTGAAACAGAGACCTTGAACATGACACATTCTAAAAATTCTAAAAAAACTCTAAGAATTCTGAAAATTGTCTACAACGCACAACCGAGGCTGTAAAATACCCGTCTCCGAAAAGAGCGCCGGATCAACCGAGGCGAAGTTTGAGTTTCAAATGACAAAAGTGAAACAAACCGTACAAACTCCAAACAAAAGAAAAAAAAGAAAAAAAATACGAGGAACGTTGTCAAAAATAAATTTGAAACTTTTACAAATAAAGGGGAGAAAAATGTCCAACGACGTTTGAAAAAAAAAAATAGCTTTTCGAAAAGTTTGGAAAGAACTAAAAAAAAGAGGAGTTTCGTTGGAGAAAGCGAGAAAGAGGGAAAAGGCCGGTATAAAATTAAACTGGTTCGGCCGTGCATGGTGTCGTATGATCTCGCGTCGCAGAAACTTCCTCTAAATATAGGAAGGGCTCGAGACGGAAAGCCGCCAGTTATTATTGTTGTTAAAAGGAACGACGTTGCACAGGTTGCCGTAATTTCTGCTACATTTGTCATCACCCCACCGTACAATTCTCGGCTTCGTTTGCCACCGCTCGACGAGAATAACCACCACGATCCGCTCGATCGGCTCACTTTCTCATTTAGAGAGAAAGACAGAACGTGCAGATTAATCAATCTCTGCGAGAAAGCGATCCAAATTGAGGATATCGGGGAACTTGAGGTTATCGTTAATTAAGAGTTGGAAATATTAAGTTGGCAATAAATTTTCATTAAAGAAACGTTGCCGAGTGCAACTGAAATACGTGGTGTCAGCGAATAATTGTGCATAAATGCGGACTTTATCGAGAGATTGTAACTCGATTCTACGCTGTTCATCTTGTGAAAGATTTAATTCCATTTTATCGTTAAGTTTTCATTCACGACGTATGTTAATTAGATTCGTTATCGTTAAATTAATTGGAGGATTGATTATTATAAACGTTTTATAGCTGCTGGAAATGAAACAAACGAAAACAAATGAAAATCTGGATTTCCTAAATTTTAAATTGCCTGGTGTCCAATTGAAAGTAAAGAATTATGAGTTGAAAGTAGACTTCTATGCAAGGTGTAGGATATTCAGATTTCATCGAATGATGCGTATGATGTGAACTTTGCGGAAGAATTAACTTTTATTATTAAATTTACTGCTCTAAATAATTGAAGGATCGCTTTTTAGAATGAATTTTTCGTAAGTTTGAAAATTCTACTTGCACGCTAATTTCAATTTCAATTTCAATAACGTTGTACGAATTATGTACGTCATATAATAATAACGGAATGGGCAATTGCACTTCAATAAGAGAACATCAAAAAGTACAAGGATCTCATCCAAGGATCTATTTAAACTTAATAAATATTTACTATATAATTACTTTTTACATCGAGCTGAGAATCGTCATTACTAAAATGTAACAAACATGAAGAATTATTAAAAAAATACAACGACTCGCCATTTTTCTTAATTACAATTATTACACTATAGTCAATGATTAATTACTATGACAAACATAATCACTCACTGATCTATCTACAATTGCTTACCAATAAAATTCTCGAGGACAAACGACTCGAGATACAAATACTAGAGAAACGTTTCAGCTTCTGTGCGACAGATAAATATAGAAAGAAGCGAGACGTGAAAAATGATTCTCCAATTGCTTCGAACAGTGAACGAAGAGGAGACCACTTATATCGCTCGTATCTATTGATGTCTATGATATCAAGATATATAAGCTTGAAAGAATCCCGTGGAAAACGGTTAGAGCTCGAGCACGAGCGAGAGGAAAGGCTTGGAGGAGAATTGCAAGGCTCGTTCGGAGTACACTCTGGGAAATGTTCCGCGGGGGTTCGCTTTTGTTCGAGCACAAACAAGAGCAGAGAGGCTGCGGAAGAAACAGCCACTAATGGGGGAAAACGTTCCTTTGATAAAGACCACGGCTTCACCCTCTCGATATTTATCGTTCGGGTTATCCCGATCCCGTACGAGCTTCTTTCACAAACATCGTTCTTCGTTTGTTGTTCCTCTCACGGTCTTCCCCCATTAGCATTCCGAGATTAAGCGAAAAGAATTGTTCATTTGTCAATATTTCGATAGTGAATTAGTTTTATGTGTCACCGTGAAAGTGCTGAGTGTGTCACATAATGTTTGTCCACGGTCCGAAATAAAAATGTCTCGAAAGGTGTACGTAAGATAAAAACGGGTGTTTCACACAACAATCGTAAGGTGTAATAAAGTTGATCTTTTAGAGGAATCAATTTGAACTTTGAAACAGCAGTTAATTTCCTACAGGGAAACTAAACTGCGAATCTTTAGGTGAAGAATTTTTATTACGAAGTTAGACTTCGAATAACTGTTTGAAATTATTTAACTCTTGTCGAAGAACTAATTTTTCGATGTAATTGATATAGTTTCAATGATACTTTAGCTTTCGATCTTACGAAGATCTGCACGGAGTCACAAAATAATTTTCACTGATTTAATTTTCTGAAAATTAATTGCTTCTTTTCACGTGAAATATTCAAAGACGAGCGAGTTTAAACACTGAGACTGTACAAAAAGAACATGTTTAGAATACATAGAACATACATAGAATTCGTTTGAAACTTAAAGTGCATAGAATATATAAAATATATAAAAATATATATATTTTTTATATATTTTATATAATTTATATATATTTTTGAAATTATATATTTTATATAATTATATAAATAGTTCTTTATATTTATATAGTTTATATAATTTATATATATTTTTTATAATTATATATTTTAGATAATTATAAAAATAGTTCTTTATATTTATATAGTTTATATAATTTATATATATTTTTTATAATTATATATTTTATATAATTATAAAAATAGTTCTTTATATTTATATAGTTTATATAATTTATATATATATATATACACACAATATATAAAACGTGTCTAGCTT